AGCGAAGAAAACAGAATTTTAAAGTCTGTAGGCCTATGTAAAACGAATTTTTGCTTCTTTTGAAAAATGCCTCAAAATGGTGCGTTTTCAAACATTGTCGAATGACCAGAATGCTCGTCCGCAGGGAAATAATCTTTTACAATTTCGTGTTTCGCAGTAGGGTTAACTATTTGAGGACGAGCTGTTTTAAATTGGAGCACTTTAAAAAATGAAGCATACGTTCGTTTTTCATACAGGTTTTTCAATTCTGTTTTCTTTACTTGAAGCCTAAAAGATAGAGAACAACATGATTTATATGAAATTATGCACATTCGTGTTTCTAATGAGTGTATGAATAAATAGTATGATGGCTCGAAATGAGCTGTGACGTTGCCCCTGGTTTGCTGATGATCGGACAAAATATGTGTCAGCTACGTGGTTAAAGAGTTAATAATAAGATTGCTACGTGCGGCCGGTACCGTAACCTAGAGGTCACCGAGTGGTTTGTTTAAGCGGAGTGTGCACTTGTTCAAATAGTCGGACCTGCATGATCGGTTTCCGTCTGAACGTCGAGTTGACCAGAGTGAAGACAGCAAAGGGAAAATAATAAGTTGAAAGTGGAGAAAGCATAAATCGCAACTAAATAAATTGTATTGGTTCAATGCCACTTGTTACGTTGTAAGGGTTTTTTAAAGACAGGGCCTCTGAATTTAACGTCCATCTCTGATAGGACCGAGCCAAATGGGAAAACTCGTGTAAAGTACGTATCCCAAGGACACAACTTCGGACCGAGCTGAGGCTTAAACCCCCGAACGTGCAATCCCATGATTACGAGCCCGATTGCCTTACCACTAAACTACTGACGCCAACATAAATCGTATCTTTGGCTGGTTAGAAATAGGTAAATCGATTCTTTATGGTTATTTATGAAATGGCAGAATACGTTATATTTCCAGACTAAAGACATAATCTATTGGTTTGTTGAAACTAGTCCGCCCTCACGCACCCCACCTCCACCCACAATGGTAGAGGACTGCAGCAATGGCAATGTGCGGACAACGATAAAGGCACCTCCATTGTTCCGTCCATCAATGGCAAGTTGATTGTTATCTGTATCGGTGTGATAATTAATTGTGTACAAGGTAACGCTGATAAATTGCTGTATGAATGTGTGTATACACACATACACGCAAAAGTATATAAATATGAATGCAATATAGAATATAAATGTATAATGTGTCTTTATATCATAATAATATATGAAGGCCATAGGAAACCAAATTTCCACCACGGAGGTCAATAAAGAGTTCTCAATTTATTTCAGTATCTACTTTCTTTATCTTTTGAGTAACGAATAACACACACACAAAAATGTTAAGCCCGAGATGTAAACAAAATACCTAGCTCACGTTTTGTTTACCTAACCCTTCGTCGGCGTCACCTGTCGTCGTGACACGTAAAAGTAGACCCCAGCTGTCCGGGTGGCGCAATTAAATAGGTCAATTTGAGAGAGAAAAACCCCCCACTTATGTCGAGCGAAGCCCTCAGTGTTGGTACTTATTATGAAGGACTCGGTGACAAAATGGCTTAACTCCACTAATCAAATTTTCACTTTTTCCTTCTTTTGATCGCGTAAAACAATAGCAGGATCTTTAATAGTTATTTGCTCTTTAAAATTTTGCCATGTCACGAAACTTACTGCCGACAATCAAAATTGAACTGCTTTAACGACCACCTGCACAAGACAATCATCTGTAGGCAGTTACTGTTTTTTGTTCTTGGATTTATGATTTATGTAAAGCACCTGGTGCAGTATGCACACAGGAGTTGGCGTTAAAAGAATGATCAACATTCTTCTTCTTCTTCTTCTTCTTCTTATTATTATTATTATTATTATTATTATTATTATTATTATTATTATTACTATTGTTGTTATAATTATTTATTTATTTATTTATTTATTTATTTATTTATCTTTTCGAAAATTATTATAATTATTATTATCATCATCATCATCATCATCATCATCATCATCATCATCATCATCATCATCATCACCATCATCATCATCATCATCATCATCATCATCATCATCATTACTATTATTATTACAAATTACTCTCACCCCTTGTAGTTTTTTTCTATATTATAACGACACTGACTACTTTTGGATGTACTGCGTTTTGTCAGATAACCATACTACATCCCAGCTGGAAATCAGGGGGAAAGTGTTTCGCAATCTTGCAGACTCATCTTGGCTGCTTCGTGATCTAATTACGGGGTATCTGTCGATCATGTGATTGGGTTCATTTATTATAATACATTGTCTGTACCCTCCCCCCCTCCCTTACCCAAAACAACAGCAACTAAATCCTCCGCGCCCCCTCCCCCCAACCCCCCCCCCCCCAAAACAAAACAAAACAAACAAACCAACATACATTACCACCCAGTAAGGAAAGATTTCGGAATATTCTTTTTCTAAGCTTTGTTTATTCAAACTTTTTTAAAAATAATTAATTGCACGTATTTTTGAGCCATCATCGATACAATTTAGATCAATTTAGGGGGCTGTTTTCGGCCATGCCTGTCAGGATCAACCGATGTTGAGAAGAATACAACATGCCTGCAAAAAGATTGAGATACAAAAGATGTACTCAATAAAAATTCTCTCCACTCGGGAATCGAACTTAGGTTTCCGTGTGCAGCAGCCAAGCGCCCCCGTTACACCACAGTCGCCGATAAATCAAGATAGTGAGAGCTCTTACATACTGAGCTAATAAACACATAAATCCATGATAGTCTATCTATTAATCTCTGTACAATACCCCACCCCCCTTGCCCCGCCCCGCCCCTTCCATTAACACCCTTTCTCTGGGTTATTATTATTGCCTGCTCTAGTGTGTGTGTGTGTGTGTGTGTGTGTGTGTGTGTGTGTGTGTGTGTGTGTGCGTATGTGCGCGTGTGTGCGTGTGTGTGTGTGTGGGTGGGTGTGTGTGTGTGTGTGTGTGTGTGTGTGTGTGTGTGTGTGTGTGTTTGTGTGTGTGTGGAAAGGGGGGGGGGGGTTAAAGTACGCACAGAACCATGGCAGCTTTTTAAAAATTGAGTGATAGATTATTCTAGAACAAACTGACAGGTTCTACACCTTCAAGAATCAAGCGCCTTCCCGATCCCTTTAAATAAGAAAAAAAAATCGTAATATCCGACTACTTCAAATGACGGGTCCTTTGTTGACAATTTCCCTGTGACAGCCAGGTCGCAGGATAGCAGCTCAAGTACCGTAACTCGAACTTTTGCGAAAAAAACAAAACAACCAAGGCACTGGGAAGAGGGGTGTGCTCCGTAAAAACCTCAGAGTTATCCGATTATTTGGTGAAAATACACTTTAACCCTATCCGTACGTCGTGTTTTACTATCGTATCCATACGGTGAGGGGAACTCTGTGCCACCATTGTCCAAATAGGAAATTACTCGTTAATCCGATCGGTACGCTTTGCATAGCTGTCTGTCAAAATATTTTTTTGAGAAATACTGAAAATTTCAAAGAGATCTTCATACTAGAAGTATTCTAAAATGTGAAGAAATCAACCCCGGGGTACAAAATGACCCCCAGGGCGTACGGATAGGATTTAATCAAAATTCCAGTAGATGTTGATGGATATAATGGGGGAAAGTCATTTTTTTCTCCTACTGTAAAATATGAAAATCACGAGTTGCGATAGATCCAATTGTGCTGCTAGCCCACGAGCCACGAAGCCTCAATATTTCAGTGGAGTACATGCTTCAGAATTCCCTAGCCTACTAGATCTAGCCTACATTGTGTCGAGTGTCCTCTTTTTGGGACTTATCGTGAGCTGGTGGCCTTGAAGATGTCAAAAACATCCCGCGGTGTATTTGAAGCTCTCACGCTCTCTCTCTCTCTCTCTCTCTCTCTCTCTCTCTCTCTCTCTCTCTCTCTCAACGAGACAATTCTGCTTACCTCTCATAGAGGAAATCACAATCAACAAATACTTCAGATAAACCAAGACGTTACATTGTAAGCTCTAAAAATAGAGAGTGGGGCCATGGACATAAATAATGCTTCCCAAAAAGAATTTGATTTACGAGTTCTAAGACGCAAGAGCTTATTGGGGAACCAAAGAGTGGTTGAGCTAAGAGTGCCGGAAATAATATGAAAGAGAATCGGTATTCTTTGTCCTCAGGTTAAATAAGAAAGAAAAACGCGCACAAGATCAAAAGCCTAAAATGCTTTAGTGGACGGCTCGGTATGTCCATTGTATCAATTTTACGCCCCCATCAATACAATTCAGAGCTTTCAGGAGGCAGACTTCTTTCACGTCTCTCGTCAGGACAGTCCAAGCTAAATGTAAAACAACATCCCAGCAGACAGACGATGAAGCTCAATTTTGTTTTTAAAATGTTTTAATGTTCCCCGTTCACGAATCGAACCCACGTCTCCTGCATACAATAGTGAATGACCTAACCACAACACCACAGACTCTAGTTATCCGTAGGGACAAAGAATAAAGATTAATATTATTTACAACTGGGACAGATTTGGGGGTTGAAAAAAGAGGGGTGGTGTGCCTGTAGGTCAGATCAATAAATTAATACAAAATAATCAAAACCGAGGGGGAGGGGGGTGTAAATACAGTCGAACTTGCTCTAAGGACCACAACTTGGTCAAAACAATCACCAGAACAAACAATCACTTCATATCCTCCCCCCTCCCCTTTTTGTCTGTGGGTTGGTTGTTGTTGTTTTGTTTTTGTTTTTTTTTCCTATATCAATATGACATTACCCAAGAGGATCACCTGTCTAAAATGACCGCTTTCTCTTTGACAATGGGTATCGCACAGGACAGGTTTGGGTGCAAATATCTGTCAACGACAAAGTCAAACAAATTGATAACCTTTCACAGGTGCACAACAAAAAATCACACAAATCGGGAACAGTGAATCAGGAAGAAGAGAATAATCAATAAGGAAAATACATGTTATCACAAACTGCAAATAAACACAAACCTGGAGCGCCCAGTTCCGAATAGACGAATGAGAGTACACAAATAAACGTACACACTTTATCCTTTGCAGGTCCTGCAACAATTGACTACACTCGTGTGCGTTCCGACAATCCCTTGCCTGTTGCAGAGCAAAACTGAGGTGCTCTTGACTAAAATCTATTTTTAAAACCCAGTAAAGGCTTATAAAGAATTAACACTCGAAAACAAGCAGACGTCTCAGCTAATCGCGTGCCAAACACGCAGAATGACGATGTTCAAACCCTCACTCTTCACGACTGAGCCAGCAGAATGTTGCTTATCTCGACAGCGATACAGCCACAAGAGGATTAATCTGACACACTCACTCATGTTTCGCCAACACCGGACCAGTAAGTTGGGCGGACCAGAATCGAAACAGTAACTGAGACCCGAGTTCTGAGATTTTTTTTCTGTCTGCTCGATTACCGATCCTTCGGTATTTCATGTTCGATTCTTTAGCCCGAATGTTTCTGCTTTTTTGTATTTAAAGCCTGTGTTAGCCCCCCCCGGACTCTTTTTTCAATCCCTTGCACATTTATGAGATTGACGCCATTTGATTTGTAGAAAAAAGTGCATATGATAGTGTCCAAATGTGTATTACGTGCATACTTAGTATTATGACATGTAACTCTTACAGGTAGAGATTCAAGTATTATAGATGTAAGTTAATGAAGTGAGAGCAATGAGATTTTAGAAATAATAGTGGTGATGAGTGATGATGTGCGATTGAGTTTAAGTTATGTTAGCGTTAGTCCTATCTTCCTCTGCTCCAATGAGTCACGAGGGACGTGGGCACCCTCTATCCCGTTCCCTACTGGAACTATTTTTAATGTTACTGTGAAGTTCCAAAATGGTGGGCACAGTCTCTGCTAAGGTGACATTGTTAGTGTTAGCCTATTCTATCGGGCTAAGACAAGAGTAGAGAGGACCTAAGTAGGAAGACAGTACCCCCCCCCCCCCAAATCGACTCAGTTTTGACCATTTAGGATGCAGGCTTCGACCCTGCCAGTCAGAGCCAACCAGGACTGAAAGGTCCCGGCAGATATTCCCAGATGCTCAGGAAAGATCTTCTCTAGACTGGAATCGAACGCAAGTCATGTGCGTGTGACGGCGAAGCAACTGAAGCTACACAAAAAAGCCGGGGGGGTTTTCAGCCTGCTGATGGAAGTCGGTTCTCAGATTGTTTGAAGTGATATCGTGATTGATTGTTAACGTTTTACGCCCCTGTTGATCAAAATTAAGATACATTAGAAGGTGGCTTGCAAGAATCTTACCTGTCAGAACTAACCAGGACTGAATGTGAAATAGCTGCGGTGTAGACGGTTGGGGATACTACTCGATAAGTCAACTTTTCTATTCTGGAATTGAATTCATCTCCTTCTACATGCAACGGCGAAGGATCCAGCCATCACACTACAGACCTTGGAACAGTAATTTCAGTATGATAAAATGTAACATTAGCCCTCCATTCGAAACTTACTTGATCTGTAGTTGTAGTAAAATGCACATAATTGTAAATATCTCAGACGAAGAACTCTTGGCAAACAAATGACAGGACAAAATACCGGATAACGAAGTTTTCGAAAGGACAAATGCCTAAAGCCTGTATTCTGAGATCAAAACGACTCGACCTCGGTAAGCTGATCATGTTGCAAAAATGCCTGATTTCAGAAACCCAAAAGGCAGTAATTTATTCTGAAATGTCCTCGGGAAGCGTAAACTTGGCGCTCCCAAAACAGCGCCACAAAGACACCCTGAAAAGGTCTCTGAAGGACTTCGACGTGAATCCTTTGACACAGGAGAGCCTCTAGCTCTTGACAGGCTCAGCTGAAGAGCAGCGATCATAGAAGGCTTTTCAAATTAGAAGTGCTGGAGCCAAGAAAAAAGCCCGCAATTTGCACACAATACACATCCGCATGTGAAAATATAACTTTTAAAGCTCAAAATATGGCAAACTCTTTTCTGTCAGAATTTGTTGCGTTGGCCGTAGCAGTAACCATAAATCTTTTCAATCCTAATTTTGTCTTCTATTTCACCTGAAAAATATTCTTCTCCAGAGATACATTGGTCGTCGTCAAATATTGACGGACGAACTTTTTAAAAATATATTATTATATTATCATGTATATCCGGGATATCCACTCTCTGTGGACCCAAACTTGGGTCGACATGACCTCATCTGAGAAAGGTGTTCTTAATTAATTTTGAGAAAGGGAGGTTCACATTTTACTTTCATCATCTATATGTCATTCTTTTCTACTTCTGTGAAGAGAAAAGGTGTTATCAGTTTGATAAACTACGTGTTTGCCCAGAACAACAGAGAAATGCATTGTCATCATGATTACTCTGACTTATTTTTGTCCTTAGTCAAACCATTAATTTCAGTTTATGCAATAAAACTTTATTGAAACAACGATAAAAGTAAATTTCACCCCCCCCCCCCTCCCTTTCCCCATTCGTAAAATAAGTTAAAAGCATCTTTTGCGCATGATGTTACGTAGGTCCAGATTTGACCCCACTGAGATGGGAAACCCCGTATGTGTGTACATAATATGTAATAAGTCAAGTAATTTCCCAATGTGATCTTTGTTTTACTTTTAGCTTTGCTCGCCAGTTTCTCTCTCTCTCTCTC